CTTTGTACTCGTATGGGTACTCGAGTACAACGGTACTGTACTTGTACTTGGTACTCGAGTACTTTTATATAAGAGTACTTGTATTCAGTACTCGAGTACTTTTTCATTGTACTCGGAACAGCTCTGATTATAATTTGTTTTTTTAACTAAGAAGCACAATACTATAGTTTTGGAAAATATACAATTTTTGGCGAAAAGGAATTCCCACAATATTTAATTTTTAGTAAAATTGGTTTAATTTAAATTAATAAACAATAGAACCACTTCAACTCAATGTTAAAAATATTGTATTTATGTATTTGGCAAAATTAAAATCTTTATGTACCTATCTTTTATATAAAATACTTTGTATGATTTAGCTTTCTGGTCAATATTAATTATTAATTGATTGTCTTTTTTCTTGTTCATGATTCATGGATTGAACCTGCGTCTTTTTCTTGATTCAATGAAGAATATTCAACTGCAATTAATATTTTCTACTTACTTATGCAAAGAAGTTTGATAAATTCCATTAACACAAACCCAAACCTGAAATCAATATCAATTTTAAAATCAATTTAAATTGTAAAAAGATTGATATTACATAATAATTTTTAAAATTAAATAAAAATAATCAATATTTATGCTACTTATTTATGCTGTAGGTAATTGTTTTACCAGCACAAAAATAATTGAATGGTTTATTGTAAAAACAAGGGAAGTGACAAACTAAATATGATTTTGTTTATTTTTTTAATTTAAAAATATTATAAAAACAAATAATTGTGAACTTGTGCTGTTTTAACATGAAAATATCCTTTTTTAATATCCTAATGTGTATCTTGCTAAATAATAATCTAAAGCAGAAGTGTATGTAATATAAAAATGTCAGATTGCTTGTTTTAACAATAAACAAATTAATTATATTTGGAGTAAAAAATAAAAGTGTATGTTCTTTAATGGTCAAGGCTTTTACTTTTTTATATGTATTGTAACTATGGATGTGTGAAAATTGAATTCAAGAATTATTTGAATAGTTTGAATGTTCCAATTTTTTAATAGTTCAATAAGAAAATTAAAATTTTCCAATAGAAATTGAACATTGGAATTGTAGATTAAAATTTATTTTGAAATAAACAGTTTTAATGTTATTTACTTGTTATTAACCCTTAATTATCTTATTTGAATAGATTTTGATTGTAATTATTTAACTATTCAAATAATTCAAACTATTCATGTGGTTTCATTCTTTTTCTTCATGCAGGGTAAATCTTCTCTAATTGTTCCATTATCGCAAAATTGGAATTGTAGATTAAAATTTATTTTTAAATAAACAGTTTTAATGTTATTTACTTGTTATTAACCCTTAATTATCTTATTTGAATAGATTATGATTGTAATTATTTAACTATTCAAATAATTCAAACTATTCATGTAGTTTCATTCTTTTTCTTCATGCAGGGTAAATCTTCTCTAACTGTTCCATTATCGCAAAAGCTTAAATTCAGCTTTTGCATTAAATTAAAATCAATTTATATGATTGAATTTAAAACTTTAAAAATATTTCTTTTAAAGGCACACTCAATTTATAAGCAACCAATGAAACTACTCAAATTTGCTAAAACAGTTTTATGTAAAAAAAGTCAATGTTGCTAGAGGCTAAAAAAATTGATGGGCCATCAAATTTGACGGCCCAAAAAATTATATAATTGTTTCGATACACGGTCATATGACAATCAAAAAATGTCAAATGTAATTTATTTCAAAGGCCACAATAATAGTATATTATGTATCAAGTTTAATAAACGCCATTTTAGTTACGAGTTTAATTATGCACGAGCGAAGCTTGCGAGCGAGTGTTTAATAAAAACGAGTGTCTAGAGAAGTTTATAAACGAGTTGCATACTATACTTTATCTACGACGACTACAAAACAGAATTTAAAGCCAATTTTATTTGTTAAAATTTTGACATCTGTCAACTGTCACCCGAATTTAACCTCACTTTTTCCCAATTTATAATAAAGCTAACTTCAGCCCGTGACGTAAAATGTCGAAAAGCCACTGTTGTTAACTTCAGCCCGTCAATAAAACGCCATAAAGTTACAGCTCGTCAATGTAGGAGTAGATAAAATTAATTATTTGGCATTTTATAAATGAATGTCGAAAACCCTGGCGAAAATAAAATGTGCAAAATTATTTTAGAACAATGTGCCCACAATGTGCAATCTTAAAAAATGATGTGCGGAGGGTGGGAAATGGAACATGAAACAATGTGCAAAACCAAAAATTTAAAAGTGTGAATAATCACTGGACGATGTTCTAAAGGGAACTCCTTTTGATTTTTCACATTGTTTGCACACTGTTTGTTGCCACCTGTGTGCCTATTACAAAAAGAGATTCTTTTCTATATAAAATATTTATTTATTTTATATTTAATCAAATAAATATTTTTTTCAAAAAAAATTTTTTCAAAAAAAATTTAAAAAAAAAATACCTACAAGGTAGGTCCTACAAATTGTATTTTATTAAGAAAAATACCTGCACTGTCAAAGCTATCCCATATAGTCCCATCATCCCTTCATAACAAATCCCACGGAGAATATTTTATTGCTTTATGCTCCAGGACTATAAGGGATATTAAAATAGGTAAAAATAACATAAATTAAACTTTTAAAAAAGTTTAACTTCAAAGTAAATTTAAGGTTAATTTAACAAAATATTTACTTAAATTAAGTAATATTGCCTCAAAGCTCTACCCCTGATAGCACAGTTTATTCTAAGAATGTTTTTTAAACCTTCCAGTGGGAATATTCTTAGGATCATGCTATATTTCTTCTAGTCTTGTTCTATTTTAAACCTTCCAGTGAGAATATTCTTAGGACCATGCTATATTTCTTCTAGTCATGTTCTAAGAATGTTTTTTAAACCTTCCAGTGAGAATATTCTTATGATCATGCTATATTTCTCCTAAAGAACATGCTTAAAAGAAATATAGCATAATCCTAAGGCCTATAGGCAGGTTCTTAGAAGGTGCAAAGTTTAGTGGTAAAAATTAATCCACTCTAAACATATGCTTAGAATGTTGACAAAGTAATTGCTATAGAAAGTTCATTTAGGAATATTCCTGGAACATTCTGTTAGGCATATTCAGTTCAGTTAGGTACCTATATAATAGTAAAATATACCATAATCTACGACGTAGATTCCACGTATAAAGGTACCTATACTTAGTATTAAATACTAAGTAAAAAACACAACCCAAAATATTTTTTTATAGTTATTTGTCAAATTAAAACAATATTCGATAACAAAAATACTTTTACTATAGGTATCTAAATTATCCGGCTTTTACATAAAATCTATTATCCAACTTAAATACAATGAAAAATGCTTTTTTATGAAGAACTATTTGGTTTTTTCTTTTATGAAGAATTATTTTATAAGAAAATATTTTGTTTTTTTATATTTTATTTTATGTTAAAAATAAATATTTATTAATTTGTATACCCATTTTTTATTTCTGAATTAACATTTTTATGTATAATAATCCTAACTATCTTCAACTTCAATCTATTCTGACTTATCCCACAAAATTTTCCAATTTTACTTTTTATGAAATAATGTCATACAACTTAAGGTTCAGAGGTCAAATTGTTTATTTAATATTTTTAAATAAATATATATTAATATGTCGCAAATTTTTTTAAGGGGACGGCAAATACATTTCACTGTCATATTATGACAGTGAGGCGTATTTGTCGTCTCCTGAAGAATTTTACGAATGTAGAATACAACATATTAGAACGTGGGTATCTGACATATTTGGAAATATTCTCAAAAGCTTCCTAGAAGCTCCATAAGAAACCTTCTAAGAACATTCCAAAAACGTATTCTTAAAATGTTCTTAGATTGCTTTTTAGGAAGGTTTTAAGAAGCTTCTAAGAATCTAATTGCATCATTAAAAGGGTATCTATTGAATGTTTTAAAAGTCCCTAAGAACATTCTTAGCAATAAGGGAAGGTTCTAAGAATATTTCATTATTCCGAGTCATATCTTCTTAGAAGATTCTTAGAATCAAATTTTGCTATCAGGGACGCTTTTACTTAAAATGCTTAATTAATACAAAATAATAGTTAAAATTTTAGAAATTGTTAAATATCTCTGAAATTATTAACTTTAGGTATAGGGAATAGTTACACTAATCGAAATGTTTTATAATTTGCTATTTAATTAGGTAAAAACATACCGGGTGTTACATTTAAATGAAAAAAGTTAGCCTAATTTGCCCTGGGTTTTCTTAGGTAATTTGTTGAAAATGTTAAAGAATTGACATGGAATCTTTTAAACAATGTTTTAATATTCCAAAAATCCCACCGACATATTCGCAAACCTAATAAAAAAAGTTATAGGCTATTTATTATTGACGCGCATTCGTCAAATTTTAAGGAAAAAAAAATAATAACTCGAAAACTATTTATTTAGGGTATAGAAATTGTACTCAGAATGTTATACAGAATATAACAATGTAAAAATGTATGAATTGTTCTATTGAAATAACAAAGTTGATGGTAAACTGAAAGTGGCATTTTTTTTAAATATTTTAGAAAAATATTTAGACTTAAAAAAATTTCAAATCGATATCTTTTTTTGTTCCCCAGAAACTTCTAATGGACCACGAATGTGGAAACCCTGTATATTAAGTATAATTTTTATTTAAGGAATAGGCAAATTTATCTATTCAAATTTCTCAGACAAGCTGGGGACAAGACATGCGAATGACAATTTGAGTTTAAATTTGTTTAATTTTTTAAATTTGTTTTTGCAGGTTTAAAAGAAAATATCTTGTATACATTTGGTTATTAAATATATTTTTTAAGAAAGATATTTATCGGGGACAACCAATTACTCAAGTATCACCAATATCTAACATCAGGTATTCAGGTTTTAAAGAAATTTATTTTAAGTACTGTCCTGTATAAAATAAAATCAGCTGTATATGTTGTTATATTTATGTTATATTTATATATCTCTGATAGGGGCAGTATAAAATATGATAATACATAGTGTACCGAAATGATGTGTTGTGTAAAAGTTTATTTGGTGGTTTAATTTTAATGAATGTGAACTTAAAATGTTAATATTATTTTTCTCAGTTTTGGATTGTTTATTTGCAATTGTTGGTTTTGTAGCATTTCTTATTTTAAAGAATACTCCGGCATGCATTTTAGGGTTAATATCAGGTAGGTAAATAATAAAGGTTGAATAATAAGTGATAACTAATTGAATGGTGATCTTTGGGTGTATGGAGCTTTGTTAAGATTTAAGTTGCTAAATTCTGTATTATTTTAAATATTATTTATTTAAATTTAAGTAGTATCTTTTCGCATTTTTTATTGCTAACAAATATTTTTATTCTATATCTTCCTATTTTTTAAAATTACGCTGTAGTTGCATAAAACTATTCAATTCCATTCCATTCCATGATTCAATTAATCATTTAATAGAAAGAAGTACAACCGTTAATTAATTCAACGATAAAACATTAAAATTCTTATGAAATGGTTTGTAAATCATAACATTCTTGATCTACCTATAAGCCCGGCTAGCTCAGTCGGTAGAGCATGAGACTCTTAATCTCAGGGTCGTGGGTTCGAGCCCCACGTTGGGCGATACTCTTTTTATTTTTTAAATTATAATTTACATTCCTCTGCTAACCTTTAACCTTATTTTTTAGTGTATTCCAGTATGATAAGGGTCTTCCTACTAATATTAAAGATTAAGAAAAGACTGAATCAATGGTATGGACCAAGAGAGCTTGGAAATTTATCATGGCTGGCCTATGTTTTATTAACTATGTCAGTTTTAAGCCTAATTTATTTTACATCCACTCAAATTTTACTTAAAACGGGTAAGCTAAAGTTTATTTAACACATGACAAATTATGGGAAATTCTTGTTTTGACTCCTTTAGGTTAAATTTCACTTTCTACACATCAGATATTCTTAAATAAAAAAGTTTAAACAAATTTCAAATTTTCCTATTGCGCCGGGCGCGGCTTTTTTTCTGTTGTCTGAGTCCGAGTCTGTCGGCAACTTTCGTTAAACTTAAAATTTGTATCCATTTTTTGTGCCCCCGTGGACCAACTCTTGACCAAATTTTTCTGGAGCGACAAAAGCTAAAGTTCATTTTTTTTTTAAATTTTCCGTCAAATTTCGGACGTTAAGTTTAAATCGCCTGAGAAGAGAACGTATGAATATTTTTTGACCAATTTTGGAGATTGAGAATGCTTTTCTTCAAAATGAAAATGAAATTGGTAAAACAAAAACAGAAATTAAAGGATGATAGAATAAAGTTTATAGTAAACGAGTTTATTTAAGCGATTGCTTGATAAAAACGAGTGTCTAGAAAATTTTATAAACGAGTTACGTATCGGGTTTTCGCAACGCGCGCGCCATCTGCACCATGCACCGTGCACCATGGTGGGCTTCGATAGCATTGCGTGAATTTAAGAATTATTAACAAAACATTTAAGAAGATTATATAATATTATATAATCTTCTTAAATACATTTAAAACACTGATTACACTATGTAACAAAATTTGATTTTTGTTTTGTTTATTGGATTTTTTTGTTAAATTATCAATTTTTGTGTACCAAAAAACTATTCTAAATTAATTTAAAAAATGTAGTGATAAGTTTTTATTTTTTAAGGGGTATTTATATAATATAATCAAACCCAGTTTTATCAAAAACAAAAACAAATATTGACAAGAAATGGCAAGAAATTCAACTCAGAATTATTATTTTAACAAAACATACAATCTAGAAAAATATTTTCTTAATATAGATTTTAAATCTTTGCTCAAAAATGAATTTTAATACGACTTTTTCTTTTATATGATGCATTTTCTTCCCGAAGTAGATTCCAAACATAGTCATGACTATGTTTGGAATCTACTTCGGGGTGCACCCATCATGTAGTGATAAGTTTTTATTTTTTTTAAGGGGTATTTATATAATATAATCAAACCCAGTTTTATCAAAAACAAAAACAAATATTGACAAGAAATGGCAAGAAATTCAACTCAAAATTATTATTTTAACAAAACATACAATCTAGAAAAATATTTTCTTAATATAGATTTTAAATCTTTGCTCAAAAATGAATTTTAATACGACTTTTTCTTTTATATGATGCATTTTAATAATAATAATAATAATAATAATAAACTTTATTAACGGTAAAAGAAAACCATAAAATACAATAATAAGAATAACAATTGTTATAGGTTTAAGTCACATATTCAGCAGTAATACTATAAGTACTAAACACTAATTTTTAGCCTAAGTTGTTTCTTGAATTGAACCAAGTTCAAAGAAAAAAAATTTAGTTCAAATTTGTTCGCCAATCTGCACCCCCTATCGATCGGAGAATAGTAACCATAATTAGTTCTATGCATAGAACTAATTATGGTTACTATTCTCCGATCGATAGGGGGTGCAGATTGGCGAACAAATTTGAACTAAATTTTTTTTCTTTGAACTTGGTTCAATTCAAGAAACAACTTAGGCTAAAAATTAGTGTTTAGTACTTATAGTATTACTGCTGAATATGTGACTTAAACCTATAACAATTGTTATTCTTATTATTGTATTTTATGGTTTTCTTTTACCGTTAATAAAGTTTATTATTATTATTATTATTATTATTAAAATGCATCATATAAAAGAAAAAGTCGTATTAAAATTCATTTTTGAGCAAAGATTTAAAATCTATATTAAGAAAATATTTTTCTAGATTGTATGTTTTGTTAAAATAATAATTTTGAGTTGAATTTCTTGCCATTTAATGAAAAATAATGGGGTATGTCTAGTTTGTGGCACAGACAAACGAATGCTATACAGCAATTCTGAGCTGTTTATAAGGTTATTGAGTATTTTATAAATGAATAGAATATCAAACTCCTGTCTCCTAATCGATAGTGGTTGCAGACCTACGAACAGTCTCAGTTCTCTATAATTAATATTTTCAACTCTTATGTTGAGTTTAAATGCACATAGGCGAAGAAACCTATCTTGGACACGTTCTAAGGCAGTTACATAAGCATTATAGTGCGGTGACCACACTACACAGTTAAACTCTAAAATTGAACGTATATATGAAATAAAAATATTTTTAAAGCAATTAATATCGTAAAAGTCCTGAAGTTGTCGTCTGACAAAGCCTAACATACGATAAGACTTATTAATAATTAAGTTAACATGATCACTAAACGTAAGCCTATTATCAAACAGCACTCCAAGATCTTTAATTGAGTTCACAACCTCTAAAACATTGTTATCAATAGAATAGCAAAAAAACAATGGATTTTTGTTCCTATAAAAATTAATAACCTTGCATTTTTTAATATTAAGTTCCATACAATTCAACTCGCACCATGAATTTAGACTGTTCGTCAGACTGCAACTTACAACAATCATTAAGTGATTTAATTTCAAAAAACATTTTCAAATCATCCGCAAATAGAAGGCATTTGCAAAACTTTAAATTTAAATTAATATCATTAATAAAACAGTTGAATAATAGAGGTGACAAATGGCCACCTTGAGGAACTCCAGAGGAAACAAGAATAGGTCTAGACTGGTAACAATTATCAATTAGAACAGTTTGATAACGATCGGATAAATAATTAGAAATCCAATTCAAGAACGTACCGCGTATACCCAGTGCATCAAGCTTGGACAACAATATGATATGATTAACTCTGTCAAACGCCCTGGAAAAGTCAGTATAAATGGCATCCACCTGACCGCGCCTCTCCAGTACGTCCAACAGAAATTTCTCATAAATAACAAGATTAGTTGATGTCGACTTACCCTTACAGAAGCCATGTTGATCATCAATTATAATATTTTTGAATAAAGGTGAGATTTTATTGGTCACAATTGATTCAAATAACTTCGGAATTAGTGAAATCTTAGATATAGCTCTGTAATTAGATATATCACCTTTATCACCACTCTTGTGCACTGGTATAACAAAACTATTCTTCCATATATCAGGGAATAGGCCAGATCTAAGAGACATATTGAACAAGTAAGATAACGGCTTAGTTAATGCATATTTGCAACCGCTTAAAATGGCAGATGGGACCCCATCAGGGCCCGCACTTTTACAAGAACTTAACTTACTTAATTCAGTAAAAACATCCATTTCTCCTATAAAAAGATCATGCAAATCAACTGTTTGGCTATATATAAAATCAGGAATATTTACTAGATTTTTAGTGCTATATGCAGACGAGAAATGAGTGGCAAATAAGTCAGCTATAATTTGATAGTTATCAGTAAATTCATCATTTAAGTTCATGGATTTTGGCAAGTTGCAGTCAGACTTTTTAGATTTAACATAACTCCAAAAGTGTTTAGAGTCATTTTTAATATTAGCCTCAATAACTTGTATATAATCAGAATAACATTTTTTTGATAATCTTTTACAATCATTTCTTAAGTTACTAAATAATAGATAGTTATGATCACTTGGCCTTTGTTGCATGCATAGAACTAATTATGGTTACTATTCTCCGATCGATAGGGGGTGCAGATTGGCGAACAAATTTGAACTAAATTTTTTTTCTTTGAACTTGGTTCAATTCAAGAAACAACTTAGGCTAAAAATTAGTGTTTAGTACTTATAGTATTACTGCTGAATATGTGACTTAAACCTATAACAATTGTTATTCTTATTATTGTATTTTATGGTTTTCTTTTACCGTTAATAAAGTTTATTATTATTATTATTATTATTATTAAAATGCATCATATAAAAGAAAAAGTCGTATTAAAATTCATTTTTGAGCAAAGATTTAAAATCTATATTAAGAAAATATTTTTCTAGATTGTATGTTTTGTTAAAATAATAATTTTGAGTTGAATTTCTTGCCATTTAATGAAAAATAATGGGGTATGTCTAGTTTGTGGCACAGACAAACGAATGCTATACAGCAATTCTGAGCTGTTTATAAGGTTATTGAGTATTTTATAAATGAATAGAATATCAAACTCCTGTCTCCTAATCGATAGTGGTTGCAGACCTACGAACAGTCTCAGTTCTCTATAATTAATATTTTCAACTCTTATGTTGAGTTTAAATGCACATAGGCGAAGAAACCTATCTTGGACACGTTCTAAGGCAGTTACATAAGCATTATAGTGCGGTGACCACACTACACAGTTAAACTCTAAAATTGAACGTATATATGAAATAAAAATATTTTTAAAGCAATTAATATCGTAAAAGTCCTGAAGTTGTCGTCTGACAAAGCCTAACATACGATAAGACTTATTAATAATTAAGTTAACATGATCACTAAACGTAAGCCTATTATCAAACAGCACTCCAAGATCTTTAATTGAGTTCACAACCTCTAAAACATTGTTATCAATAGAATAGCAAAAAAACAATGGATTTTTGTTCCTATAAAAATTAATAACCTTGCATTTTTTAATATTAAGTTCCATACAATTCAACTCGCACCATGAATTTAGACTGTTCGTCAGACTGCAACTTACAACAATCATTAAGTGATTTAATTTCAAAAAACATTTTCAAATCATCCGCAAATAGAAGGCATTTGCAAAACTTTAAATTTAAATTAATATCATTAATAAAACAGTTGAATAATAGAGGTGACAAATGGCCACCTTGAGGAACTCCAGAGGAAACAAGAATAGGTCTAGACTGGTAACAATTATCAATTAGAACAGTTTGATAACGATCGGATAAATAATTAGAAATCCAATTCAAGAACGTACCGCGTATACCCAGTGCATCAAGCTTGGACAACAATATGATATGATTAACTCTGTCAAACGCCCTGGAAAAGTCAGTATAAATGGCATCCACC